TTAGCTGATCAACTGCGATTAAGTTGTCATAATAAATAATAATAATAATACTCATTATTATTATTATTATTATTATTATTATTATATTAATGAAAATAAAAATAGCAAATTATGCATTCGATCTCGTACTCGCCAATCTCTTATTTTCATAGCACAAATCATGTGTCACTGCATTCCAGTCCACAGTGCCGTCTCTACGCCTCGGTATCTTACCGCCCAGATATCGTCTGCAATTCATTACAGTTAATAATATAATAAAATATACAATAATAATAATAATTAATTAATAACAACCATAAGTCAAAACCACCATTCGGCAGAGAATAAACCGTATCTCCCCAGGAAAAGATGAAAAATAACCGCAAAACCAGCTGACTTGTAAGCTCTGAAATTGTTTCTGCCTCTCTTTGCCCATTCGTCAGCCTGGTAAATCGGTTCTGGGATCGATATTGCTGAATTGATGATTTGGTGAGTATAACACAACGACATCATTATCGATTGNATGATAATAATAAACCTGAATGACCCGATGCGCCTGCATGAACACCTCAGTACAATCGGCACGCGTCACCGTTCGATCCACGACCGTGCCCGGCAACGTGTTAGATACGATTCCTTTGAAATGACGAATATTATAAATGTTATCAATATTACTTTTATTCGATCCAATTAAAATTACCATTCGAATCGCGTGCAAAAAAGCGTTTATCGTGTCGTTTCGTGGTGACGGACAGCAAAAATTTCGGTTTGAATTCCGTTAATTTATTCACCTCGCAGAAATTGGCCACGCCAGCCTTAATGTCGTCGAATTCCTGACGCATCACCTCAAATACAAATTATGATAATTATATTTATATATTATAATAATAAATAACAATAATAATAAATAATAATAAAAAGTACCATCTTCATTTGCTGCTCGGAAACGCCATCACGAGTGATGATAATGAATTCTGGCAAAACGCTTCGAACTTTTTGAAACTGTTCCAAAATATAAAACATTTTCCCTTCGAGAATCGAACCCGTCACCTGCTCTTTACGCGCTTCATGAAACGCGTAATCCCCCACAAAAGTTTCGGGGCTTTCGCCGCAGTTGTATGAAAACTGAAGTGATAATAACAATAATAAATAATCATTATATCAAATAATAATAACAATAATAAATAATAAATGTAATAAATAAAAAATATAATAAATAAAACTAAAAACCGACCCCAATCACCGACGGCTGTTCATTGGCAATACCCAAACGCCGTTCACGAGCCGATTGCGGCTCAGGATGACACACGTCGTATCCGATCACCAGAGTCTTCGCATTAGCCAACCATTTATTTCGACTCAAATTTTAATAATAATAATAATAATAA